AGAAGAGGGTGACAGAGGGGCAGGGTGGGCCCCCTAGAGGAGGTGGGATTCACACAATGTCACCCAGATGACACCCTTATCGTGCTCCCATCAAAGCCTAAGGGTTTTCTCTGTCATGGAATAAGCAACTTGGGGGCCTGTTTCAGCCCTGGTATGATGCCCCTGAAACAAAGGGGCTTTTGATCAGTCCCCAAAGGACTGTTGTAGGAGGCTCTTCTGCAGGTCTCAGGCGAGTTTTTGGAAAAAAGCTCATCAGGTTTCAGGACCTGGTCCCCACTCTGGGCTCTGATGTATGTTGGGCTCCATTTCACAGGTGTTCATCCCTGAATCCCGGCTGAGACAGGGGCTAGGCTAGGGCTGATCATTAGGGGCAGCAGGGCTGGGAAGGGTGGAGGGCATCTTACCTGGCACTAGGCTGTGAGGGAAGCCCAGCCCAGGTGAGCACAGAGCCCATGGACCAGCGAAGCAGGCATGGCTCACCTGCCGTGGGACCCCAACCAGGGCCCATTGCTGGGGCACAGCATCCCAAGGCAGGGAACGAGTGTCTGGGATTAGTGGTAGACAGGCCTCCCTGCCCAGGGCTATACCCTACATGGGTGCAGTGCAGCCTGGGGAGACCAATTTGCCAGTGTCAAGTGAACACAGCCCTGTGCTTGCAAATGCTCACATCCCTGACAGCCCTGCTTCAAGTCACAGAGCCCCAGGACCAGGTTTCTCTAAGGAGCGCTGCCTCAGGGAATAAAAGGGACATGGTAGAGTTTCTTGTCCTTTTGGGGAAGAGCCATATCGCAAACTAAAAGGAGCTTGCTGGTTTTTCCTCTGGAGGACTCTCCCCTAAGATACAGGGTACTACTCCTTTGTCCTTGAGTTCTCCCAGCAAACATTTGCTGAGTGGCCAGTACATGACTGGTGCAGGGCAACAGATACCATATCACTGCCCCAGGAGCTGCCCTGCCAGGAAGCAGACACTGTTTTCTCCTCCTAGGACCCACAGTTGGATGACTGGATATGCCCCACAGTGATTGTGTCATGTTGTGGGTGCCCAGACAGGGTAAGAGCTATAGAGGTGAGAAGGGCCCTAGGGAGAAGCTGAGATGCTGGGTGGGGCTGAGGGAGGACGGGGGCAGCTGCCTCATGCCCCACAGACACAGGCCCACATGGCATGACCTGGGCAGAAGTCCCTTCAGCAGACTGAGAGCCAGAGCTGGCTGCAGGGGCCCTAAGGCCCACTGAGAGGAGGGTTGACGGGGTGTGTGTGGAGGGGTCTGAAAGAATCCTGCCCCCAAGGAAGAGCTAGGGCCGCACCCAGTGGGTCTAGCAAAGAGCCAGATGGGACTCTCTCCCCTCCTCTGGAGGCAGCAACCAAGCTGCAGGCTTCCTGACAGCCACGTCTGCTTTTCAGGGCAAACAGGACACCTTGGGTGACTTTGCTCACAGCTGCATGCAGGGCCCACTGATGTGCTGTCAGCACAAGAACATGGTAAGCCGGGCATAGGGATGCTCCCTCTGCACTAGGGGCCTTTGCTTTTTGCCCCTGTCCATTTTACTCAGGGACTGATGGTCAGAGGGTCCTGTCCAGGCATCTGCCAAGGAAGACGCCCAAGACATGGAGGCATGGTGCTCATGAGCCCCCTAGCTGGCCCTGGGCATGGCACCCATGTAGTCCCTTGCACTGTGGACTCATGGGTGTCAGGAAACTTCCTTATCTAGAGCATTACCCAGCTCTTCAAAGCTGAGCTAAAAAGGGCTACAGGGAGGCAGGCCAGCCAGGCTCTGGTCTCCCAAGTATCATCCCTCTCCTCTGAGCCCCCAATCCTGGGGCTATGCTGGGTCCCCCTACCCCACCCACTGAGACTCAGGACTCAGGAGTGGGCGGGAGTATGGCGATGCCCCCTCAGTACTGCCTGGATGACAATGACTGGTTTTTCCAGGTAGTAAATATTCTCTCCTCATATCATTGCCTGTGAAAATGGGGGGCAGCCCAAATATACAATTGTCGCCTGGGAATTCAGGTAACAGGGACAATTTTTACTGAGTTCTCCCTCATGGGACAGATGCCAGCCTTAGAAATGTACATATTTCCCAGTTTCGATCCTCCAAGTAACGGCACATGTAGGTACTAATACCGTCCCCGGTTTACCAAGACAGCCCTGACACACAGACAGGACAAACGCCTTGCCCTAGGTCATAAGGCCTAGAGGTGGCAGAGCTGGACTGGAACCTTGAGGTCTGGCTCCTCCCTTCTCACTGCCCTGCCCGCCTTTCGGGGCATCACTCATTACTTATGGTGGCTTTACCCCCAAACTGACAGAGAACTGCCCTACTCAGACCCTGGGGCCAAGGACAGCAGTGGTCCTGGCTCCCCCGGGAGGCATGTCTGAGATTCCTCATGTGTAGACTCCTTTCACTGAGCAGGCCAGGGGACCCAGAGGCCATTACTCTCCCAACATCTATCTGAGGGCTACATGGCCACATTCAGGGAACCCCAACTCTCAGCAGCTGAGCAGGTGGGCATTTAGAGGCTGTGAGCATTATCATTCTCTTTCTACACCAAGAGGTCCTTGGAAGTGGCTGCCTCCACAGCCTGTCACACATCTGGAGGTGCCCCACTTCCCTTGCACTAGCAGCCTGCAGCAGCTCATCCCTGCAGCACAGTCACGGACAGGCTCTGCACAAGTCTTGGGCTGCAGTCGCAGTCAGACCTTGTTATGACTTCCCTTGCTGCCATTTGAGGGCAGGGAAGACAAGTTCAATACCAGAGGAAAGGGAGTCCAGAGCTAGGACAAGGGGCTGCCTAGGAAAGGTAGGGCAGATTCTGATGCCCGGACAGAGTCTCAAAGGAGGAGCCCAGGCTGGAGACCAGCATCCAGGGACAGAAGGGCATCCATAAAGGCCCACCCTGCCGGTCCTGCTGGATCCTGAACTCGACTCCTTTGAACCAAGGAAACCAAAGCCTTCTGCTCCGAATTCCAGTGGCATCTCAGTGAACTTCTCTGTATTCTCTTCCCTATAGGAGAGGTACACCAACTACACTCCAGTGGATCCCCTCTGTGGGCAGTTATACTGCAGCCCAAACATCTGCCTTCAATGCAGACAAAACTGCTACCTCGGGAACAGCTGCTGCTCAAGGTGCCAATGTCCTGTATCCTCCATGCCTCCCACCTGGATGCTGCCGCCAAACCCTCCCTCTCCTCAGCACTGTTTGGAAGACTGACACTTCCACCCCCACACCACAGCACCACAAACCCCAAATCATTAAGAACCTTTTATTGAGCAAGCACACAATTCAAGATGGTGGCATGAGAAGTGAGACAAGAGAACCATCAAAACCACACATAACTAATCCTAAAAGAGCAACAGGAAAGAGGGCTGCACCAGACTGCATGCACCTGGAGAACAAAGCAGACCTCATGAAACAGGGTAATGTACCAAAGCCTTGATTCAGTGGGACCCAAGCCCTAAAATCACCCCAGCTCACCAGCAGGAAGAAGAGAAATGGAGCAGGGAGGGGGTGGAAGCCTAGGACTGCTGAACACCCAGCCCTGGAGATCTGCTTTGGGAGCACAAACCTACA